AATAAAGAATTAATATTAAGAGCTGAAAGGAAAAATGTCAAGTAACACATAAAGGAAAACCTATGAGAATTACACCTGACTTCTCAACAGAACCCATGAAGTCAGAAGGTCTTGGATAGATGTACTGCAGACACTAAGGGACCATGAATCCAAGCCCAGATTACAATACCCAGCAAAGCTTGCATTCACCATTGATGTAGAAAACAAGATATTTCAGGACAAAAACATATTTAAACAGTGTATAGTCACAAACCCAGCATTACAGAAAATACTAGAAGGAAAACCACAAACCAAGGAAGCCAACAACACCCATAATAACACAAGCATCAAACAACCTTTTACCAGCACAACTCAGAGAAGGGAAACACACAAACACTTCCACCAGAAAAAAAAAAATAACCAGAGTTAGCAACCACTTTTCATTAATATCACTTAATATCAATGGACTCCATTCATCTATAAAAAGGCACAGGTTAAGAGAATGTATACAAAAACAGGATCCAACATTCTGCTTTTTACAAAAAACACACCTCAACCTCAAAGACATATACTTCCTTGGAGTAAAGGGTTGGGAAAATGTTTTCCAATCAAATGGACCAAAGAAACAAGCGGGTGTGACTATACTAATATCTAACAAAATTGATTTCAAACTAAAATCAGTCAGAAGAGATGGAGAAGGACACTTTATACTCATCAGGAGGAAGTCTCAATCCTGAATATTTATGCCCCTAATATAAAAGCACACACATATGTAAAAGAAACCTTACTAGAGCTCAAAGCATACATCAAACTCCACACTCTAATAATAGAGGATTTCAACATTCCTCTTTCACCAATGGACAGGTCAAACAGACATAAACTAAACAGAGAAATAAGGGAACTAACAGATGTAATGAACCAAATGGACATAACAGACATCTATAGAACATTCCACCCAAACAGAAAAAGAATATACCTTCTTCTCAGAATCTCATGGAACCTTCGCAAAAATTGATCACATAATTGGTAACAAAGCAAACATCCATAGATACAAAGAAATTTTAGTAACCACCTGTGTACTATCGGATCACCATGGAATAAAGTTAGAATGCAACAACAATTCTACCCCCAGAGAGCGAGCAAACTCATGGAAACTGAACAGTCAACTACTGAACCACCCCTGGGTGAAGGAAGAAAAAAAGAAAGAAATTAAAGTCTTCTGGAAGTCAATGAAAACAAATAAACAATATACCCAAAATTATGGGACAGTATAAAAGCATTACTAAGAGGAAAGTTCATAGCACTAAGTGGCCATATAAAGAAAACAGAGAAAGCACACATTAGAGACTAAACAGCACAGCTGAAAACTCTAGAAAAAAAAAAAGAAGAAGCAGACTCACCCAGGAAGAGTAGAAGACTGGAAATAATCAAACTGAGGGCTGAAATCAACAAAATAGAAACACAGAAAGCAATCCAAAGAATCAATGAAACAAAAAGCTGGTTTTTGGAGAAAATCAACAAGATTGACAAACCCCTATCCAAACTAATCAAATGGCAGAGAAAGAACATGCAAATTAATAAGACCAGAAATGAAAAGGGGGACATAAACACAGACATAGAGGAAATTCAGAGAATCATTAGATCTTTCTCCAAAAACCTGTATACCATAAAATTGGAAAATATAAAAGTAATGGACATTTTTTTAGATAAGTGCCATATACCAAAATTAAATCAAGACCAGATGAACAATTTAAATAGACCTATAAATCATGAGGAATTATAAGCTGTTATCAAAAACCTGCTTACCAAAAAAGCCCAGGACCACATGGTTTCAATGCAGAACTCTAACAGAACTTCCAAGAAGAAATAATACCTATACCCCTTTATGTTTTTCACATAATAGAAACTGAAGAGTCATTGCCAAACTCTTTATGAAGCTACAGTTACCCTGATACCAAAACCACACAAAGACTCAACCAAGAAAGAGAATTACAAGCCAATCTCACTCATGGACATCAACGCAAAAATTCCCAATAAAATGCTGGCAAACTGAATCCAAGAACACATCAAAAAATCATACATTATGATCAAGTAGGCTTCATCCCAGAAATGCAGTGCTGGTTCAACATATACAAATCTATCAAAGTAATCCATCATATAAATAAATTGAAATAAAAAAAAACATGATCATTTCATTAGATCATGAAAAGCATTTGACAAAATTCAACACCCATTTATGATAAAGACTTGGAGAGGTTAGGTATACAAGGGTCATACCTAAATATAATAAAAGCTATATACAGCAAGTGGACAGCTAATATAAAATTAAATGTAGAGAAACTCAAAGTCATTCCACTAAATTCAGGAACAAGACAAGGCTGTCCACTCTATCCATACCTCTTCAATATAGTGCTTGAAGTTCTAGCAATAGCAATAAGAAAACATAAGGAGATCAAGGGGATTCAAATTGGAAAGGAAGAAGTCAAACTTTTGCTATTTGCAGATGATATGATAGTGTACATAAGGGACCCCAAAATCTCTACCAAAGATCTCCTACAGCTGATAAACACCTTTTGTAATGTGGCAGGATACAAGATCAACTCCAAAAAAATCAGTTGACCTCCTGTACAAAAAGGGTAAAGAAGCAGAGAGGGAAATAAGAGAAGAATTACCTTTCATGATAGCCACATATCATAAAGTATCTTGGGGTAACTCTAACCAAGGAAGTGAAGGATCTATTTGACAATAACTTCAAGTATTTGAGAAAGAAATTGAAGAGGATACCAGAAAATGGAAGGATCTCCCATGCTCTTGGATGGGGAGGATCAACTTGGTAAAAATAGAAGTTCTACCAAAAGCAATCTATAGACTCTATGCAATCCCCATCAAAATTTCAACAAAATTCTTTACAGACTTGAGAGAACAATAATCAACTTTATACAGAAAAACAAAAAAAACCCAAGATAGCCAAAACAATACTATACAATAAAAGTACTTCTGGAGGCCGTACCATCCCTGACTTCAGAAACTATTGCTGAGCTACAGTAATGAAAACAGCTTGGTATTGGCATAAAAACAAACATGTTGACCAATGGAATTGAATTAAAAACTCAAATATTAACCCACAAACCTATTAACATCTGGTTTTGACAAAGGGGGTAAAATTATAAAATGGAAGAAAATAAGCACTTTAACAAATGGTGCTGACATAACTGGATATCAACATGTAGAAGAATGAAAATAGATCCATATCTATCACCATGCACAAAACTCAAGTGCGAATGAATTAAAGACCTCAATATAAAACTGACCACACTAAACCTGATAGAAGAGAAAGAGGGATGTGTCTGCCACACATAGGCACAGGAGACCACTTCCTACTTATAAACCCAGTAGCACAGACAATAAGAACAACAATGATTAAAAGGGATCTCCTGAATCTGAGAAGCTTCTGTATTGCAAAGGACAGTGCTATTAGGACAAAAAGGCAACCTATTGAATTGGAGATGATCTTCAGAAACCCTGCATCAGACAAAGGTCTGATCTTCAAAATGTATAAAAAACTCAAGAAACTAGACATTAATACTCTAACCCAGTTAAAAAATTGGATACTGAACTGAACAGAGAATTCTCAACAGAAGAAGTTCAAATGGACAAAAGAAACTTAAGGTCATGCACAACCTCCTTAGTGATCAGGGAAATGCAAATCAAAAAACTTTGAAATTGCATCTTACACCTGTCAGAATGGCTAAAATCAAAAACACCCATTATAGTCTATGCTGGAGAGGTTGTGGAGTAAGGGGAACACTCATCCATTCTTAGTAGGAATACAAACTTGTGCAACCACTTTGGAAATCAGTGTGGCAGTTTCTCAGGAAACTGGGAGTCAATCTACCTCAGTATTACACAATTCCACTCTTGGGGATATACCCAAAAGATGCCTAATCATACTAAAAAAGCATTTGTTCAATTCTGTTCATAGCAGCACTATTTGTAATAGCCAGAACCTGGAAACAACCTAGGTGCCCCTCAATAGAAAAATGGATAAAAAATGTGTGGCACATTTACACTTAAGACTTCTACTCAGTGGTAAAAAAAAAAATGACATCTTGAATTTTGCATGCAAATGGATGGAAATAGAAAACACTATCCTGAGTGAGATAGCCAGACCCAAAAAGATAAATGTGGGATGTACTCACTCATAATTGCTTTCTAGCCATAAATAAAGGACATTGAGCCTATAATTTGTGATCCTAGAGAAGCTAAATAATAAGGTGAACCCAAAGAAAAACATATAGTTACCCCCCTGGATATTGGAAGTAGACAAGATTGCAGGCCAAAAAGTGGGAACTTGGGGGTAGGGTGGGATGGGGTTAAGGGGAAACGGGGAGAGAAAAGTGAGAAGGGAAGGATGGGGAGAGCTTTGGGGAATGCGATGGTTGGGATAAAGGAAGGATGAATATGGGAACAGGCAAGGATATATTCTAATTAAGGGAGCCATTTTAGGGTTGGCAAGAGACTTGACTCTAGAAGGGCTCCCAGGTGTCCAGGGATATGTCCCCAGTCAGTTTCTTGGGCAGCTGAGGAGAGGGAACCTGAAATTGCCCTATCCTATAGCCCTACTGATGAATATCTTGCATATCACCATAGAACATTCATATGGCAATAGATGGAGATAGGGACAGAGACCCACATTGGAGCACCGGACTGAGCTCCCAAGGTCCAAATGAGGAGCAGAAGGAGGGAGAACATGAGCAAGGAAGTCAGGACCTCAAGGGGTGCACCCACCCACTGAGATGTTGGGACTGATCTATTGGGAGCTCACCAAGGCCAGCTGGACTGTGACTGAAAAAGTATGGGATAAAACCAGACTCTCTGAACATGGCAGAATTTTTTTCAATAATAATAATAATAATAAAGAAAATAAGGTATAATGACATGCTACCATATGAATGAACATTAAAGTGAATTACAAGAAATGAAACGAAGTACAAAAGAATACAATGTTGTGCTTGCTTCAGCAGCACATATACTAAACTTGGAAAATTTGAATGATACAGAGAAGATAAACATGGCCCCTGTGCAAGGATGACAGGGAAATTCATGTAGTGTTCAAAGAAAAGAACACAGTGCTCAAGCCTTATTCAGTGGTTATCACTCATACATTCTCAAGGGCCTTGATTCAACAAAGAACACACAGAAACAAAAAAAATCAAAAACAAAAGAAAAAAAAAAGAAAGAAAACAAAACAGATGCCAGGGAGATGCCAGGGATCAGCCTGTCAGACATGGAGGTAACCAGAAAGTAGGTCAAACAGAATGAAAGAAAGGTAAAAAGCCCTGAAACAAAATTTAGATAAATAACAACATTTTAAATTAAACCTAAATAAAAAAGCTAGTGGTACAAGCCTAAATTAAGGTCAAGAATTCATAATTAATTTAAGTCTCTGTGTCCTTATCTGGAAGTTGGTGGGTGGCCCAAAGATAATTCCAACTACATAGAATTACTGCCTCATGAACATTAATGTAGAAATTCTCAATAAAATACTGGCCAAACAAATCTAAGAACATATCAAAAACTCGGTCACAATCAAATGGTCTTTATGTAAGCAATGCAAGGATTGTCCAACATATGAAATCTATCAATATAGTGTACAACATAAACAAACTGAAATAAAAACCCAAACATGATCATCTAAGTGGATGCCGAAAAAAAATCTTTGACAATATTCAGCATCTCTTCATGATAAAAGTCTTGAGAGATCATTGAAACAAGAAATATCCCTTAGCATAATAAAAGCAATGCACAGCAGGAATAAGACAAGGCTGTCCAATTCTCCATATCAATTCATTATAGTACTCAAAGTCCTAGATGGAGAAACAAAACAACAAAAAGAGTTCAACAGAATATACATTGGAAAGGAATCAGTAAATGAGTCATTATTCAGAGATGATTTGATAGTATACATTAGCAACCACAAAAATTCTACCATGGAACACCTACAGCTGAAAAACACCTTCAGCAAATTGGTTGGAGTCACTCAAAAAAAAAAATCAGTAGCCATTTTATATACAAATTATCAGCTGGGTGGATGTTGGTGGTGCCACCAACACCATGTGCCTCTAGAGAATCCTGACTATTCATCCAATAAAGTTTACTATACCACAGAGCCCTATAAAAAACAAACAAAAAACCCACAGTATTTTCTGAAAAAAAAAAAAACAACTAAACAACAGTATAATAATACTGTTTTCTTGATGAAATTTAATTATCATAATTTTAAAAAAAATTATAGATTTGATTAGTTTAAACTTTTAAGAACAACAAAGAGAGATCTTCTGCATCACTTTTACAGATCCTCCAGTTGAAAAAAATGATAAAATATACTATAATACTACAATAAAGGGCAAGACATTGACATGTTTTCTAGTTAAACTTTTTATACTTTTCTGCATTCTATGTGAATGAGTATATATAATGTATACTCATAGTATCTTTGAATTGAAGCACACACTTATATTTCCCCCAAGTTAGAATTATATTATCATATTGATCCCATATTCCTCATATATAAATATTTCCAAGCCAGTGTGTTCTCCTCTGGAACTTCCACACATGGCTACCAGCACTCTGCTTTTACACATTATATAAAGCTGACACTATTACAGAAAGAAACATGTATGTAATTCTGTACTGATTTGATCGTCAAACAAAATCTAAAACTGCACTAGTTTAATGACTACTTGACACAAGCTAAAATAATCTGAAAGAATGGAACCTTTAGTTAAAAATATGTTCCCAATAAATAGCACTCCCCCGTGGCTGTGTATCAGCTCAGGCATCCAGCCTCTCACAACGGTTGAGTTCCTGCCTTGGCTTCCAGTAATGAACTTTGATTTATGTCATGTAAAGCAAATAAACCCTTTTGCATCCAAATTTCTTTTGGTCTTGGTACTTCGTCACACCAATAGGAATCAAAGTGAGACTAGCACTGAACAATAAAATTTCCCTATCATCTGGTTCTTAATTTTTATTTTCTAAAATGTAATATGATGAATGTAAAAACATTTATTTGCTTGTATATTTATGGCATTTTAAAATTAAACTTTATATCTTGAATTAGTTTTAATAGGACATTTGTGATAGCTCTGGTATTTGCTAACATGAATGAAGCTGTCATGTATATTCTTATACATGTGAACATATGCTTTTATTTCCTTGGAGTAAAGACCTAAGAGATCAATAGAACATATAGTAATTGCATACATTATGTTATAAGTTATTAAGATGTAGTGTCATATTTGCATCTGTAACTTGTCTTGGGTGCGGTATGTTTCATCCTCACCAGTATACAGTGCTAAAATCCTTTTGGTTTGAATTTTATTTTAGACACTCAAATAAATAAAATACATGGATAATAAATTTTCATTTAAATATGTATTTTATCTATTTCTAATGGTGATGAGCATATTTTCATTGGCTTACTTTCTTCTATTTATTTCTTGTATTCTATAATCCTTCAAACATTTTTTTTAAAATTTGCATTTCATTAGTTTTTAAACCATAACATTTTAATTTCTCAGTCATATTTATAAAGTTAACAATCCTCCTACTTCATCTGTATCATAGTTAATTCTACACACAGGAAGGTTTGCTAGCTATAAAGAGAATTAGTAACAAATTCATATTATAATGGTTTCATTTTTCTTTTGTTTACCACATAAACAGGCTTAGAAAATAGAAAGAGGAAAATGGATTAATTTTGGAGGCTGACAAGATAGATCAATTGGTATAGGCACTTGCTGCTGGCCTGATGTCTCTATATGCAGAATCCATATGATAGAAAGAAAGAACGTTATGATAATATTTTCCCTTCCCATGTTTTCTCCTATATCCTCCTACCTCACAGATACTCCCCACCTCCTTACTCAAGCTAGTCAAGCGATTCCTTCTCGGTTTCTTTGGAAAACAATCAAATAAAATCAAAGCAGAAAAAAAGCCACAAGAAACACAAACATAAATATATACAAATAAAACTCAGAAAAGCTTAAAATCAGAAACCATAATACAAAAGGAAAACATGAGTAAGATAATAAATGCTCAAACAAAGCATTATGAGATGAAAATAGCTATAAAATTATCACGAAGTTTGTTTTTGGTGTGCCAGCTATTGCTGAGCATGTAATCTACCCTATTGTTTGGCTTATAAACCCAGTGAGACCACAATGGAGAGGACTGATCTTTCCTTTGTACTTACAAAGGAAAGTCATTTGGAGATTGCTTCTTCATTAGGCGGTGGAAGATCATGTCAGCTCCCTCTTTCAGTGCTGTGACCATGTATGGATTGACCTGTGTAGGCCTTGTTCATGTTCCCACCATCTCTGTGTGAAAGTGTAAATCACAACCAATCCCACACCAGCTTGGATTTATGATTAATAGAATGGTTACTTATTTAAAGGAAAAAAAACTTATAGATCACCATCCCAGACAACAGCCCTCTCCGCGATCAGGAAAGGAGTCTTGTACCTGAAAGCAGAGCTGGAAGCAAGAGAGAGAGCAAGAAGAGCTGCCCCTGTTTTTTTTTTTTTTTTTTTAAAGAGAGAGACCATGCCCCAGTGGACTGGTATATCAGCGGCTATTGGCTGAAGGAACGGAAGGCACTCCTGCAGCATCCGTGAACTCACATACATAAATTCTCTAGAGTCTAGAAGACACTGTGTCCTCTGAGTCACTCATTATCTCTGACTCTTAAAACCTTTCATTGTTTTCTACATGGCTTCCTGATCCATAAAAAAAAGTTTGATGAAGACATTAGCTGAGTGAAGGACTGAGTGTGAGTGTACAAAAATCTTTCACTCCAAAGGTCCATTTGAAGGTTTCTGCATTAGTTCCCAATTTAGTCAGGAAATCTTATCTTTTTCTACTTTCCATGTAAATTAGATCTATGTATGTCTCTCTTAGGGTCCTCATTGTTGTCTAGGTTTTCTGGGATTGTGATTTGTGGGCTGGTTTTCTTTGCTTTATGTTTAAATACCACATATGAGTGAGTTGAGTACATATGACTTTTATCTTTTAAATTTATTCTTCTCTCATATAATACAGCCCACAGCAGCCTCAATTCCATCAACCTTATCTCTCATCTCCCATAGATTCATTGCTAATCCATTTTCCTTCAGAAAAGAGCAGGCCTCCCAGTGCCATCAACTGAAAAGAGCATAACAAGGTGCAATCAGGATAGCAACAAAACCTCATATCAAGGCTAAACTTGTCAACCTAGTAGGAAAAAAAAAAGTGTCCCCAAAACAGTCAAAAGGGTCAGGGGCACTCCCACTCCCCCAAAACTCCAAGCTAAACACCCACTTGTGATGTTCAAGTTAAATGAGCACAACCTGATGCAGAAAAGCTAGTGCAGACCCATTCACCTTCTGAGTTTTTCGTCACTCTCTGAGCCCAGAAGAGCCATGCTTATTTGATTCTGTCAGTCTTTTTCTCCTGGTATCTTTGACCCCTCTGGCTTCTACAATCCTCCTTCCACATCTTCTGCCAGATTTCCCAAACTCAATGCTTCCCTCTAGAGCCCTACCTTTTATTTACCCTCTATGGGTCTGTGGGTTATAATATCTTTTACATAATTCTTAAGATCCACTTAAAAGTTCTTACATATCATAACTGTCTTTTGGGGTCTTGGTTGCCTCCTCTGTATGGTTCCAACAATTTGCCTCCAAATTACATGATGTCACACTTTTCTAGCTACTGAGTAATACACAATTGTGTAAATGTACCACATTTTCTTTACCCTTTCTTCAGGTGAAGTATATCTAGTTTTTTTTTTTTTCAGTTTCTAGCTATTAAGAATAAAGCTGCTATGAACACAGGTGAGCAAGTGCCCTTGCTATTTGCTACAGTATCCTTTGGTGCATATTAAGGAATGGTATATGTTGGTCTTGAGGTAGGTCAATTCTCAATTTTCAGTGGATGCACCATACTGATTTCAATGGTGGCTGTACAGCTTTGCACTTTCAGCAATGAAGATAATTTCCCTTTGCAATGCATCCTAATCAGCCTGAGCTATCACTTGTGTGATTGAACTTAACCATTCGGAGAAGTATTAGATAGAATTTCT